ATTTTGCCGTACAAAAAAAAAAATAAAAATACTCTCGAATATTACAAAACATAACGACGTGTGTAAGTTCGAACTGCGTAAGTTCGAAATTAATTAATTGAGAATGTGCAAACAATTCTCAATTTCTTTAGTTATCGTGATTGCGGAATCTTATCTTGATCTTATCTTCCACGTCATCGTAAATATTGTGTAGCTGTCGAGTGTAGCTCTTTCATACAGTTATATAATAGATACATATAATTTTTGAAATTATTATTTTTGTTAGAGAACAAAATTCACGGTCACATGGAAGTCAAAGTGGAGCCGACCCTTCAATGTTACGTCGAGGAGGAACATGAGAATAGCTTTTCGAGTTTGGAGAACGCTAGCACGATACCGTCAAGCGTCGACGTGGGCGCGCTGAATCTGTGGACCAGCAAGGCCACCACATGCCTGATCAGCCAGTACAAGAAGTATCGATCGCTGGTCGGGCAATCGACGCAGATCAGGAGTCTGCGGGAGATGTTCGAGATGATATCGCTGGAGATGCAGAATTACGGGTTCTACTTCAGTCCGCAGAAATGCGAGAACAAGTGGCGGGTTCTCGAGCGTAAGTACAAGAACCTTGTGTTCCGCGAGCGGCTGAAAAAACCGGGCAGGATGCGACACTACGGACAGTGGGAGCACAAGCGCGCCTTGGACGAGATTTTCAACGAGAAGAAGAGACACGTGTATCTGGAGGTGAACGAGCAGCCGCAGCCACCAAGCGGACCGGCGAAGTATCCCTTGATTCTGTCGAAGCCCGGCTGCGATCAAGGCAGCGACTCGCCTGGCGATCGGCAACGCGAGGATCCTCTGGCGCCCACGACCAACGAGAAAGACGGCGATACGTTGGATCACAAACAAATCTTGACGACACTGTTTGATAAATTTATAGAAGAAATGGGAAAGAACTTCGCTCTGGTTGAAAAGAACAAGGAGAGGCGGCACAAAGAGAAAATGGCCGTGAGACATAAGGAATTGGAGCTGAAGAAGCAGCTCCTCAAATTGAAGGAACAGAAGATGGAATTGCAAAGGTGCCAAATGATTGCTGCCGCGCAAAACTTGCGTTTGAATATGAAATAATGCGCTTAATGTCGCGGACACGGATATAATTTATATATATTTTATATTAATGTTATAATAAGGTTCTTTTATGTATGTTCTTTGTACGTTAAGTTGCAAATTAAATAAAAAGCGATATTTTTTTTAATTATATGATTGTGTATAGCAACGCATTAAAATTGACGGTCTTGTAGATATCACGTTTTATTTTTGGCATGGCGTGCTTTTCTTATCGCAGTATCATTGTAGTATTAGAGTAGCTTTGGATTCAAACATGTATCTCATACCTCATATCTGCTTCTTCAGATGGCAGTACACGCTGAAAGTCACGAGTGAATGTTGTAATTTAAAATGTTGAGCTGAATAGCGCAAGCTATACTTAACTCGACTGCACTTTTTACATTTAATTAGAAAAAAGGAAAAGAGTGATTGCATGTGCAATAATCTATGAAATACTATTAAAGACAGTCCTGAGAATTCCTGATCGTCAAGTAATCTCCATGATTCAATGGCCGATCGTCGGTAATAATAATAATAAACACATGTCGATTTAAAATTAGCTACGTTAATATTTTTAAAATTTCTTCAAAATTTTGGGTCAACGCAGTTTTTAAAAAAATTGGGCTTGCTTCAATGATAAAATTCCCAAACAAAAATAACATTTCCCACGTTATCCTCTAAACTTGCTAGGTGTTTCTTAATTCAACCGTGATATTTATTGGGAGGGCGTTAGTGTACAGAAAATTATTTAAATTATGGAAAAGATTAGCAATCTTTAATATCGTAAAATTACAAATTTTTCTATAACAATTTTGATTGGATTAATGACTAAACGACAATAAAAGAATTTTTACGCTTATTCTGTTTTCGTTTTCTGACGATGTGCTGCATTACCAGCTATCGATTGAAACGAACAGCGAAGCATTAATTAGAAGGAGAATTAACAGGATAAAATATTTTCCATAATTATAAATCGCGTTTGTAAAGTTATCGTTCGTAA